CCCCCCCCCCCCCCCCCCCAAAAAAAAAAAAAAAAAAAAAATGGTGACCAGACGTTCATTTTTGTGAAAGAAGCATGAAACTAGCGAAAGTGGCACAATCTTAGCTTGGAATGGAGCCAGCATCTGTCCTTCCACCTAAAAAAGATGATTAAAAAAAAAAGTCATAGTTTTCTCCACAGTCTTGAAGTTGTTTAAGGAAAAAAGTTGACATTTTCAGGAAAAATAATTGAACTATAAAAAGGTCTAATGCTAATTGTATCATGGCTGTGAGTGATGTTGACCTAAACCTTTCACAGACCTTCTCCATAATTTCAGGATATTTTTCAAAGATACCAGCAATGGGTGCCATCAGAACCACAGTACAGGTGAGTTTTTGTAGACCAATTTTTTTATACCTGATGTTGTTATCATAAATATAATTTAGGCCTTTCTTACACCAAATTTTTATTAAATTTTGTCTTTAATAAAATGATGTAAGTTGATTATGTGTTTCACATGATTAATGTAATTGGCATCATTTTTGGACTAAGTTTTGAATCCAAGATATGAAAAGTGTCATTGGTGTCATTTAAGAAATATTACATTTTCATTTTAGATATAAAGGCATTTAATGTATAGTTTGGCCAATTTGTTTGAAAATTAATGGTGTTATTGTTTTAATATATTACGTGGGTGCATTTTGATATATCAATATTTAACTAAAGCACATTTTTACAGCAGATTTAGAGTGTGAATTCCCATAAGGTATGGTTTAATAAGTACACCAAAGACTTCAGTAAAGTAAATGATGTATTAATTTGATATATTTTTGTTATGGTACATATGGACTGTGAAATGTGTTTGATAGCCCTTTTTTGATATGATTTCTTTTTCAGATGTTGGACTCTTATTTTATATTCTAGCGCATCTGGTTTACATAACGAAAACCAGCTTATTACAATACACACTTCATATGCTTTAAAATTTTAGCCATATATGAATTTAATTACTTGTTTTCATAAAACTGTTTACATATTTGTATTTTATAATACTTAAGAGGTATTTTACTTCCTAATAACTCATTGGTTGTCACCTAGGAACATGTGGCAGTTGTTGCTAGACCTCTAGTCTTACAGTCTAGAGCGTACATACAAGAATCGGATGTTTATGAAGATGCATTGGTATGGTGGCAGTTAGTAAACAGCCAAGTCATGTGACCCATGTTCGATCCCATTCTTTGTGTGTCTGCATCGTTGTTGTTGTTGTTGTCCTGTCTTGTTTGTAATGTTTTGTGAAGATCCATGGTTTCATTATTGTACCACCAGCGTTAGCGCTGGCGGTACACATGGTTTCGGTCTCGTCCGGATCGTTCCGCCGGCTCCGCCGGCTCCGCCGGACGGCTACCGTTACCGCTTCTCCTCCTAGACGGTAAGGGCCCCCATACCCATCTCATGGATTTAGGTCACCTATGTTCAAATATACCCTCGGATTTGACCTTTGACCTTTACTTCAAGGTCAAATGGGCCAAAATTTTCAAAAAAATGAAATTTTTTACGAAAAAAAAATTTTTTGCCCTGTTATTCAGACACCACACAGACTTAACCAATAATATTATTGGAAAGTGTTACCCTTCAGGTCATCTTTCATCTCCGTGAATTTGGGGTCAATCGGTGCATTTTCACAGGAGTAGCGGCCATAAGATACCGAAACTGAAAACTGTCTCTAATTCGGGAACCGTTAATGCTAGAGACCCATTCTTTTTTGCATTTTGTAGAGCATGTAAAGCCCAACACTGGAGGTGGTCTCGGTTTTTTTGTATTCCATACGGTTTTCGAGTTACGCTGTATCA